ACAAAGCCCTCACTGAAACCTGATTTCCCAGAAGCCTGCTCCATCACAATCCAGATAGAATGTGATGTAACAATCATTTGCCAGTCATCAACAGTGCCACCCTATAGGTGAAGTCAAAGATGGATGTTGGAGAGATCTTTTAAACCTTTCAGGTTCTCTCTCCACTCTTTAATCCCTTATTTGGGACCCCATCTTAGTCCTCGCCACCCTGTGAGTCAGGACTGAGGGGGACAGAAGGGATTGCAAACAGTGTTAGGGGAGTCTGTGAAGACGGCATCACTAGGGATCTGACACAATAATGACTGCCTGCTCTCTGAGGACTACAGGACTTGCCCATTTGGGAAACAGCTAAGCAGTAAGTAACTCTTGGCTTTAGATTGGATAGCATTGGTTCTAAGCATAGAGCTATATACATTTCCCTTAAAAATAAGTTCCTAGTCTTGAAGTATAATATTGGAGATTGGGCATATGTCTTTGATTCTTGATTTTAGAATTAAAGAGATATACATTACCATTTTATATTGTACTTTATATCTAAATATACAACTATATATTTGATATTGTACTTATTTTTATCTCTTTCTCAAAGATAATTTAAGTGGAAATGAGAAAAACTTGGAGATAATTTTTTTTCTGACCTTTTAACCCAGGAGACTGCCATTTGTTCATTTGACGTTTACTGAACATCTTTTGTGTACCAGACATTGTGCTAGATGCTGGGCATAGAGATGGGAGACCAAATGTCCCTAGAGGAGCAGGAGGAGCATATGCTCAGTCTAAACTTGGGGGAGTGTCAGGAGAGGCTGCCTAGAGAAGGTACTCCTTATGTGGGTCTTGGCCAACTTGGTGAAGTGAAGTGGGTTTAGGCCAAGCTATCCAATGAGAACAGCATCATGGAACTGAGAAAAACTTGGATGCTGAAGAATTCCAGAGGGCCAGAGTACAGGCCTCTGGGGAGGTGTCTGACGTAGAAGGCTAAACTGGTTTGTAGGGGCAGATCACGATTGTCTTGGCATGCTAACTTAAGAAAATTTAAAATAACACAAAATAGTAATTATAATAATTCTTATTTCCTATTGAGCACTTGCTATGTGCCAGGCACTGTGCTGGGCATGCAGCGTACCCCAATTTATTCCTCACAAGAGCCCTATGAGGTAGGTACTGCTTTGTATGGACAAAGGATATTCCAATAGGAAATGCAGTCCACAAAGAGACTGAGAGAAAACAGTCAGGGAGGTAGAAGGAGAACAGGATGGCCCAGGGTTGTGGAAGAGAAGGGGGGAGGAGCTTTAAGAAGGATTCATGTCAAATGCTGCCAAGATGCCAGTGAGGATAAAAACCAAACAGCTAGCAGGTCACTGGTGATCTTAACAGGTACAGTTTCAGTGGAGTAAGGAGGCAAAAAACAGATAGCTGTAGGATGAGAGTGCAAATTGCAACACCGAATGGTGATAGTGATTGTCAATTGCTCTTTGAGAAGACTATTCAAGGAGGAGAGGGCTAGCAAATAGGGAGAGGGAATTAGAGGATTCTGTTCTTGGTTGGTTGGTTGGTTGGTTGGTTGGTTGGTTGGTTGGTTGGTTGTTTAGTTGGTTGGTTGTTTTTAAGAAGAGAGAGAGTGTGTCTGTATGCTGAGAGGCCAGAATGAACAGAGGGAGAGAGAGAGAGAGAGAGAGAGAGAGAGAGAGAGAGAGAGAGAGAGAGAGAGAGAGAGAGAGAGAGAGAGAAGTTCCATAAGTGAGGGATTACTGATAAAACAGGGTCACCAAGCAGTTGTGAGGAGATGGGGTTGGGGTGGGGGTGGGTCTTGGCCTGGCCTAGGAACCCAGAGGAGGGCACTAAAAATGTATATGGAAGCCTCAAGGGTCAACTGGAAGCTGAGGAAGTTTCAGCCCATAGGCCTCTGTTTTCTCCACACATAGGAACTCAGACTCTCTGAGAATAAGGGGGAGTCCCTGAATACTTGACTTATAATATGTTTATTTCTACAGTACATTTATTCAACACGTTCCATGAACAGATTTCTCCTGCTGCTGTTCAAGTGGGGAGTTAGATTCGGAGGGGAAAATCATTTATGGTGAACTGTTAGTGCTCACTGACCTACAACTTATAGTTTTTTCTATTCCCAAGTGATTCCATGGACTGCGCCAGCTGCCCCCAGTTGGCTTCTCCACTCAGCTCTGTGGTTCTCTTCTCCTGATCATGAGTGCAGGCACACTGCCCTTTGTGGAGAGCGGCCGTCAAAGGCAAGCCTGCTAATAGCAACAACTGGTGGTAAACCTGCCGAGGGTGTGAGGCCATAAAGAGAGCCTGAAAATAACAACTGAGGATAAACTAGACAGTGGGAAATGTACAATCGGGTGATAGTTGGTGTCTATGGCAAAAAAGGAATTTACTAAACTGTTTCAGGGAGTTCTTTAGGGAGGGGAAACATTGCTCATGGAGTAAGAAATAAAGCTGTGGTATAATTCAAAGGCGGTTACTTTCAGTGTTAGGGTATGTCCAGAAAACACGTCAGAAGAAAGTCAGAAGCCTGCACAAATGCCTCCTTTGCAAATTGGGGACAGACAATTCTTACACATGTACAGGGACTTTTGTAAATCTTTTGTTGAAAATATATAGTTATTTTCTTTAGCAATAACTTCCAATGTTCTTCAATTTGCTTTTTAGTGTGGGTGTATATTTTCCTTCAGCAGTAGGGTTGTATGAGAGAGAGTTGCATTTAAAATTAGTGACCAAGATGCCAAATATTATAATCAATACAATATTCATATCGTGTCAATCTAATGCTTGATACAAATGCACACACGCATACACAGCCCTTCATAGTGAAAATATCAGCCTGATGCCTGATAGTGTTTACAGGCAGCATTGCTTGCCCACAAAATGCACTTCTAAACATGATCTTTCAGCAGTCTTCACCCATCTACTTAATTGTTTGAATAGGTTTTAAACTTATTTAAGCCTCAGTTTTCTGTTATAAAATGGGGTTAATCAAAGTACTATTTATCTCACAGTGTAGTTGAAAGGATTAAACAGGTAGTGTAGGTAAAATACCCAACACAAAAGAGCTGAATAAATGAGCAGGTAGTAATTGTTATTACTGATGTTATAATTAGAAAGCTGATTGTTATCAACAGCTATCTTGCAACTCTAGTTGACCTTGAGGCTTTGCTCACAGAATTACCTAGTCTAGTTCAACAAATGCTTGTTGAGGGCTTGCTCTGTGTTCTCACAGCAAAAAGAAAGAAATGTGGGGACTTGAAGAATGAATCACTTTCTCCTACCTCAAGATACTGACAGTTATGCAAATAGCAGGAATAAGACAAATAACCATAATACAACAGAAACTCCAAGTTCCAAAATTCAATAAAATTCAGTTCAATTCAACCAACAGTTGTATCAGTTACTTCCTATATGCACAGCTTTATATTAGATGCCAGGTTACAGGAATGGCAGACGTTCTGTCCACACCTAATATCAATCAAGCGTGACAAGTGAACAACAGGATTGTGCGGAGATAGGTAGCATTAAGGAGGTATGATGAACTTTATTGGGAGGACCCAAGTAGTTCTCAGAGGGAAGAATGAACAGGAACTCAAGCCCATAATGGGAGGAAAAGGTAATCTCAGCAGAGGACACAGAATGCACCCTGGTGTGGAGGCAGGAAACTGCAGGTTTTGTCCAGAGAACTGAATGTAGCTCATTATTACTGAATCTTAGATCTGGAGTTGAGTGGAGACTGGGTAGGAAAAGAGAGAGACAAGCGGAAGTCACTTGCAGTGGACCTGTTAAGGCATTTGGATTTGATATTTGGGTTACGGGGTCTTTGAAGGTTTGTGAGCAGGTGTGGTGTGATGGGACAGCGTTTAGAAACATGCCTGGGGCTGCATGTAGAGCAGATGGTAGGGTAAGATCAGCACCAGAGAGACCAGTCAGCAGGCTACCGGCATCCTGGCCTGAACTGGCTGTGGTCAAGGAGCTGGAGCAGGGGGTGTGGTTTCAAGAAATGTTAAAGATCTTAACTGGGAAGGCTTGATGGTTGATTAAAAGTCGGTGAGAAGGAGGAGTGCCAAGGAGGAGCTCCAGGTTCTAGCTTGTGTGACTGGATGGTTGGGAATGCCACCAGCTGCCCACAGTGTAGCCACCATCTGTCTCTTCAACACACACACACACACACACACACACACACACACACAAACACACACCAGCTGTGTGTCTTTCCTTTTGCCCCAACTCCATGCTCCCAAGTCAGGAAATAGAAAAAGGCAAAAGCCCAGAAATCTCCTGAAGGCACTTGTGCTGCTCCACACTGTGGTGCTTGGCGAGGCCCACAGAGTAAGGCCAGATCCTGGCAGCTGCTTCCAGAAATCTCAAAATGGAAATCAATGCCTTATTGTGTGTATTCACCCCTTGTCTCCCCTGCATTCTAACCACTTTCCCATGTCCAGCCCTTTTTCCCACCTTTGTAGTTACGGGAATTTTTGTGGATAGTTCTGATACCTTGGGTATATGGCAATGTGTGGAGATCTCTCATTCTCTCTCTCTCTTTCTCCTCCTCCCCCTCCTCCTCCACTTCTTCTTCTTCTTCTTCTTCTTCTTCTTCTTCTTCTTCTTCTTCTTCTTCTTCTTCTCCTTCTCCTTCTGCTTCTGCTTCTTCTTCTCCCTCCACCCCTTTCTTTCTTTCTTTCCTACTTGAGAACCACTGTCCTTGTTGGTTGAAATTCTGATTAATTTAACAGCATTGAGATTTAAGGTATTGACCACCTACCTATTCAGCCCAAAGCCAGGACCGTCCAATGTGTTTCTCTACTAAAGCTTGGCCCTCACAAACACCACCAAAGGGACAAAAAGAGAAATGGTTACATTTTCCCAAATTAAATGGTACCAACCTGAGGGCTTATCCTCTGGCATGAAATACTCATGAACATGTTTTCTCTGATGCCCCTGCAGGACTTGACCAGCTAACCTGGACTTGGCCAACGGCCCTCTAATCCATCATGGCCAGTCCAGCATCCTGGCTGACTAGGAAGTTGTTTCCCTTCAAGGTGGGTAAATGGATGGGGCTTGCTTGCTTCCGGTCATTGGTGGCCTCCTCGCCCAACATTCGCCAGAAGAAACTAATCCAGAAGCTGCAGGAGGAAAAGGCTTTTCGGGAAGAGATAAAAGTTTTCCGCGAGAAAGTAGAAGACTTCAGGGAAGAGATGTGGAATTTCCGAGGCAAGATCCGTGTTTTCCAGGACCAGATCTTAGATTTTTGGGAAGAGGAGAAACCTTTCTGGGAAGAGGAGAAAGCCTTCTGGAAAGATGAAAAAGCTTTCTGGGAAATGGAAAAAGCTTTCCGGGAAGAAGAGAAAGCCTTTTGGAAAAAGTACCGTATCTTCTGGAAGGAGGATAAGGCCTTCTGGAAAGAGGATACTGCTTTATGGGAAAGCGATCAGAATCTTCTTCAGGAGGACAAGGCCCTGTGGGAGGAAGAAAAGGCCCTGTGGAGAGAGGAACAAGCTCTTCTTGTAGAGGAGAAGGCCCTGTGGGAGGATAAAAAGTCACTCTGGGAGGAAGAGAATGCCCTCTGGGAGGAGGAAAAAGCATTCTGGTTAGAAGGTGGTGGTCATATTGCTGAGGAGCAGATCCTCGAAGATGGGCACCACAACATCAATGGAGGGCCACGGTCGCCAGTGTTCTTCCGAGGCAGGGCATGAGCATGGGAGATGAAGGCCCATGGGGTCCAGACTCTGCTGAATTGGGACTCAAGTCCAAGGTGACCCCATGTGCTGGAGAAAATCATCACTTAATTGCCTCCTTGCTTCAAAAGATCTAATAAAGTCCTGAAAAGAGGTTTGGAAAACCAGCTTCTTCAAGGAAGGCCAGCTACCTTTTTTTCCTGGTTTTGCGGTTCTTGAATGTTATATTCCCATCCTCCAGGCTATACTGCTGTCTGTCTTGTAGGGCAGTTTACCATGAGCCTGGCATGTGTGGGTGTTTGTGGTAGAGACTTATCGTAAGAGTCAGAATGGCTCGCAAAGGGGAAGACAGGCTAGACAATGCCAGTTAGAGACACATAGGCACACAGGGGCTGACACACCTCTGCCTCTGTCACGCTATAGGGAAATCATTTCTCCTCCACTCTGGGAAGTCTTAGAGGCCTGGAGTAGGCTGACAGCTTACTAGAAAAGACCACAACACTGTTAACAATTCATTCCTATCTCATCTTCATCTGGAAGGCCATTTAGAACACACAGGCCGAATCTCCTTATGACCAACCTGCCCATAGTTCCAGGTTTCCACCAAACTTCCTCAACTGCCCATTCTCTGTAGCATGAGAAAGGGGTGCAGCATAAGGCTGAGGCTCTCAAGGTGCAGCATAAGTCATGAGCCACAAAAGCACTTCCCTTCTTTGTTGATGGAGTCAAAGTAGACCATGTAGGACGACCTGGAAGGTGTAAGAGAATCCTCCCTGTCCCATACATTCCCATTCACACAGGTCTCACTCTACCTGCGTTTCTGCATTATCAATTGCTTCATTTGCGTTTCACCCTTCCATTCATTTAAACTTGAAATGCCCCAGGAAGGCAATACATTAAATAAATGTACATTAATGTGGTCAGCAATTTTACATGCCCAACTTTATTAGGAGGTCTATTGTATTTGGGCATTGGTATATGGAAATGACCAGAAGGTGGGCCGTAAGAAATGTCAAGGCAAACATCTCCTGCTTTCTCTATCTTAGGCCTGGCCCTCAATGTTATTAATGTATCCCTTACTACTCGACAACCACTTTCACATTCGCTAACTCATGTAATCACTGCAACTCTGTGGGTTGCCAGGGAAAGTATATAAACCCACTGTACAGATGAGGAAACAGACACCTAGTAAAGCAAAGTGATTGCATATAGCTAGGCAAGTAGCAAATAGAAGGACCAGGACTAGAACCCAAATTGGTCCCATTCCATTTCTAATACAGCCCTGGGTCATGGAACATGGCTTTAGAGTAACTCAGCCAGTAATGGTGTCAGGGATGGGTGAACCTTATAGTGCTGTGGGATTTCACTGTGGTTTGGGGTGGTAGTGGAAAGATGGGGAGAGGAAGGAACAGGGTCCCCTAGGTGTCTGAGCAAACATTCCCTGTAACAGGAGAGTGTGCTGACTCCAGGAGCAGGCAGGCCTCTGTGCCTCTGGGAAAGTGTGGATTCTTAGCACGGCCTCTGATTCTCTGGAGCCTGGGTCCAGGGCAGTGGGAGCAGCTCACCCCTTTGTCACACACCCAGTATTGCCCTCTCAGCTCCCAATGGGCCCTGGGCAAAGTTGTGGGAACAAAAAGCTGGTGCAGAGAATCTGGTTTCAGGTGGAGAGAGTGGGGGCCCTCACGCAAAAGGACCCATCCAATGGATGTTGCACAGGGTGGCAGGAACCCCCATGCAGCAGGGGCTGCAGATTCAGCTATCCCCAGTGAGTCTGCCCCAGACAAAAGCAAATAGAAGGTTGTTGATCTTTTTTTTTTTTTTAAGATTTTTATTGGGGAGTTGGGGGATGGGAACAGCGCTGGGGAATTGGGGGAAGGAGAACAGACAAGTTGCTGACTTTTTGTTCTTCAGTCTAGCTGTGGAGGACATTGCTTCACTGGCCCAAGTTGGCACCATCATTGCGCTCTTCCCAGGCAAGGCAGATCAGTCGCCAGCTTCTGGATGGCCGCTCACGCTGGCTGCTGGCTACACACGGTAGCCCATGGCAACCCACTGCAGCAGGGGCTGCAGCAACTCACGGCTGTTAGGTTGAGCTGTTATTCAGCATCTTAGCTGTAGAGGGCAGTGTCACTGGCCCTCATATGTGGGATCTGAACTGGGGCCCTCTGGCGTCCCAAGCCAGTTCTTCACTATCGCGCCACTTGGCCGGCCCGGTTGTTGATCTTAATACCAAGGAATATAAACTGGGTGGAGGCAGGAAGTGGGATCATGCAGTAAATGGAAAGACTCCCCTTAGCATCCCATAGAAACCACCTGGATAGACAGCTGTCATGTGAAGGAGGACCAGAGAGGCTGCCAAGGGTGGACAGGTGGGTCCCTCTGTGATCCCATCCTTCATCCACCAAACAGCTGTGAACTTTCACTGTCCCAGGCTGTCTCCTTAGGTCTAGGTGGGGAGACCTGCAGGCAAACAGGAGATTGCCCCCGAGGTGGGGAGGGTTGTGAGAGACAGAACCGAAGTGTCTTCCTTTTGTGTCTTTCCACTGCCTCTGGCAACAGGGGTCTGGAAAGGTTTTCTGGAGGAGGTGATGACTGGATGAAGCCCAACAGTCCAGTGGGAATTCACTAAGGGATGGGACTGAGAGGCAGGGAGGGCATTCCAAATGGAGGAAGTGCTATAGGCACATGAAAGGGGACAGCAATTTGAGGAAATGCAAGCACCTCAGTGAACATGGAAGAAAACACTAACTTGGACAAGAAGGCAAGTAACTGATAGCATAAGGCCTCAAGGGCAATAGGGACTACTGAAGAATTTTAAGGAAGAAATGGCATATTAAGGTTTAAATTTTAGAGATGATATTTGGCCATTCAAAGTGTGGTCCATGGAAAAGCAACGTTTGCCTCACCAGGCAGCTTGTTGGAAAGGCAGCATCTCAGACCCTGATCTACTGAGCCACAGGCTCTGCATTTCAACAAAGCCCTTGGGTGATTTGTATGAGCTTTAGAATTAGAGGCACTCTTCTGTAAAGGAGGGAGTGGAAGAAGGCGAGATCATCTGGTGGTAACGGCAGGTGGTGGCGGCAGTCCAGGTAAGAGATGCTGGTGCCCTGCCCCTGGTGGCAGTGGGGTGCGGGTGAAGAGCCTCCAGCAGCTTGGAGGGCCACGTGGGAGATCAGAGCCACTGGCAAGAGAATGGACTAGATGGAGGCAGCATAGGAGAGCCCAGTATTAAGGATGATGCATAGGTTCCTGACTGGGACAATGAGAGGATGGTTGGGCCATCACTGCGGGGAGTCAAGGAAGGGCAGGATAAGTGGGGTTTTTCAGGGTGGGGGGAGATGAAGAGTGTAGTGTGGGTCATAGAAGATGGCAGGTTCCCTTTATCTGCTGTGTAATGCAATTCTCCAAGCCTGGTCAGCGCTTGGGTGAACACACCATTCTCCTGTTCATCTACCCAACAAGACATTGTGCAGCCAGCACTTTTTGTTTCATACAGCATTGGTCAGTTCATCCATCATCCATTTATTCATTCCAGCACCACTATGCCTTGCTAGCACTGTGCTATGTCTTGGAATGTGTTGATTCCCACCCATATGAAGCTTTTGGTGAGGGAGACAGATATCCAAATGATCACAATGCCATTATTTATAAAATTCAACAAATGCTAGGAAGGAGAAGGGTACCTGGGGTTGCCTGAGAGCATGCCTTCCCACTCGAGTGTGAAACGCAGAGTGAGATCTGCAGATATGAAATAAAGCCAAGTTTCAGGCAAACAGAAACCTAAGGATAAGAAGGCTGTGTACCACTGCACTGGGAATCCGTGGGCCCTCACATAGGTTCACAGATGAAGGAAAGGACACAGATAATGTCTGTGAAAGCAGCTTCTAACCTCTGGGTTATTATTTCTACTGTTAGCACAAACAGAGATAGATTTCTCCCCAACCTCAGCAGGAGCCAAAGCTGGTTTCCTCTTTAAGACGGCACCCATGACAGCATCACTGAGCTCCTGAAAGATTTCCCAGGTGTTCCATGACCTAAGGCACAGGCGGTCATCTAGGAACAGCTTGGATCCCCTGCTTTGATCTCCTGGCAGGAAGCATGTCACCCATGCTGTCTCGGGGTCATTCAGCTGGGCCTCAGATTCATAATCATCTTCATTAGACTCATAATGCAGACACTGGCAGATCCAGGATGCCAGGAAGAGCATCTATTGCTGCAACTGTTACCTCACCACTAAATTCATCCTGAGGAATTATCTTCCCCCAAAACCATGAGCCCACCCAGAAGCTCTTACCTGAACCTGCCAGAAGGGAAAGGATAGCATTTTTTCAAACACAATGGGTTGTCCTGGGAAATGTGATCTGCTCCTGGGAACTGTCATCGATATCTTTAGGCTGTAGACCATATGCATCAGACTCATGGAGTGTTCGTCAAAAATGTGGTTCCTGGGCTCTGCTTAATGGATCTGAATCTCTGGGACAAGGACTCAAAACCTGTATTTTTAACATGTTTTCTGGATGATTCTTATGCATACTAAATCTGGAAAACACTTGTGTACAATAGAAAAAGCACTGGGATAGAAACCAATGGCCCCAATTCTACTTCCAGTTCTGCTGCTTGTGCATAAGAACTTGAGAGTACAGGTTGAACCTCTGTTTCTGCACTACAGAAGTAGTGGACTTTTTAACGGAAGAAGTCCCTACTTGGCAATGTTAGAAACTTGGTTTAAAGTGTGGAGTTTCTCCTGAGTAGTTAGGTTGGGAAAAAACAGTTCAAAGTTCCTGCCTCCTTCCTCTGCAGCCCAGGCACAGGTTGCCTGCACCAGGAGGTGTGGCCTCAACCAGAGCATCCAGTTTCTCTTGAATGGATGTGCATGAAAAGGGACTAGGTGTCAAAGAGGTAGCACCTTAAATGACCCAACAAAGTTCTTGCTACTTTATTGCCATCTGTGCATAGGCCTGAATCTCCTCTCAGCAGTCTGGACCCACCTCTAGGGGGACAAAGTTACACTAAATATA